CTTTATATGTATATTTATATATTTTTCATATATATTATACACATATATACACACAGCAGCAGCAGCAGTTAATGGGTTTGAAAAATAATCCCCCAATATGCAAAGGTACTTATTCCAAAGTAAAGCATTGAAAATTCAGAATTAAGGTTATAATTTAACGGGCTAACACACACGAAAATGTACTCCAGCTGATGAAAGGACTCAAAGATGAACAACAGAGCATTTGCACAGCAGCAGTATGTAGGCTCCTCTCCTTTTATCGGTGACTTTTTATTTCCAGACTCTCTCAGGAGCAAAGCCTTGTTCCACACAAGCTAGACGAACTCTATCCTTACACTACCAAGTCAGTTTCCCTCCCTCGCCCACATCTAACATGTCTTCCAACATGGTAATTTCTACTCAAAATAGCAAAACACAAGATAAGCTACTAAATTCAAGATTTATCATGAATATATTACTTTTAAAATATGTCCCGAGAATAGAGAGCCTACTGATTTTTTTCCCTCCTTTGTATCCAGCTTTGTTAGTCAAGGTAAACACAGAAAGCTGTGTAAAAAATGTTTTAAAATAAAACTAACTCCCATACAGCACGTTGGCATACCATTTGCACCACATTACATAGCAATACAACATATTCTACTGTTTTCTACTTAAAAAGCAGAACACTTTATCCAATACAATACAACCCATTAAAATCAGTTATATACAGATACGGAAAGTCTATGTCAAGTCAGCATCCCAGGATAGAAAAACAGGTATTTTTTTTGACCTTCTGCGAGGTCATTCTCACTTATTTCCCAGTGCTACGTGTAAAGCATCCTTTAGCGACCATCAAGGGTAAAAGGAGGCAAGGGTTGCCAATGTCAAAACAACTGAAAAAATCTAGATGGCACTTAATGAAAGCATCCTCATGGAAATCAATGTATGAATACAGCCAAGTCCACATTTCTCTTTACTAGTTTATGGACAGACATCTCAATCACCTTCATATTTCCTGAAATGGTGCTGTGCTTTCACCTGTGCTAGTAAGAGCAGTGAAAAGCACTCCCCCCAGGTTTTTAGTGTTTGTTCACAGGATCACAGCATGGCTGAGGTTGGAAAGGACCTCTGGAGGTCACCCAATCCAACCCCTGCCGAGCAGGATCACCTGGAGCACACTGCACAGGATGTCATCCAGGCGGGTTGTGAACATCTCCAGAGCAGGAGACTCACACAGGAGAGAGACACAACCTCTGGCCAACCCATCCCAGTGCTGTCAGCTCACAGCACAGAAGCGCCCCTCATGTGGAGCCGGGACCAGTTTGCGCCTGCTGCCCCTCATCCTGTGGCTGAGCATAACCGAAAAGAAACCGCTCCCATCCCCCCGTGCCCACCCCTCAGGTGTTTTTATATATTAACGAGGTCTCCTTTCAGTCTTCTTTTTTCCCAACCCAAACAAGCCCAGTTCTCTCAGCCTGCCCTCACAGCCCAGCTCTCTCCAGCCCCCTCTCGCCATGCCCTTTCTGCTCCCCCCTCCCAAGCACACCCTCAGCGCCCCTCAGAGCGCGGCCCCGCGGCCCTCCCCGCACCGGGGGGGCGCCGGCAGAGCCAGGTCACGGCCGCCCCCCCTCACCCAGCACCTCCCGGGGGCTGCCCCCCGCGGCACCCACCCTGAGGGCCGGGGGGGAGCGCAGCGGCCGCCGAAGGTCACGGAGCGGGGACAGCCACCGGTGCCGCTGCGGGGGACGCCGGGAAGGGGAGGCACCGGCCCGGGAGGAGCTGCCGCGGCCCGGGCAGCGCCCTCTGCAGCCGCGGAGGAGCGGAGCCCGGCTCCCGGCCGCTCCTCCCGGCACCGGGGTGCCTGGGGAGCGGGCGGCACCGGCAGGCAGCCCCCCGTTGAGGCGGCTCCGCGCCTGGGGGCTGCTTCCCTGGGTGGAAGGAGGGATGTGGTGGCGGACCCCGGGACTGGGAGGGGGCCATGCTTCGTGTAGTGACTGGGATGGGACCGTGCTTCGTGCTGTGACCGGGACAGGAGCGCGTTTCGCCCCAGGGGAAGCGCAAACGGGGGCAACCACCGGGTCCTCCCCGCTCCGCCCGCCGCCCCCCACAACATGGCGGCCACCTCCCCTCAGCGCCGCCGCCCGGCTGAGGCGCCCGGTCACGTGGTGCGGGCGGGGCCAGGCCGAGAGCGGGAAAAGGGCGGCCGTGTGAGGCGCTGCTGTCGCCATCATGCTGCGGGCACTGACGGCGGAGCAGATCCGCGACTGGTTCACCGTCGGCAAAGCCGTGACCGCCGTCGAGTTTTTGGGGGGTGAAGCGCACGCCACAGCCCCTCGAAGTCCCCTCGGCTGCCCCGATGGCCCTCGGGAGTCCGTGGTGGCCGTGGGGTGAGTGCGGGGCTCCTGATGGTGAGGGTGAGGGGCTGCGTGTGGGGGCAGCTGCGGTGCCTTCCCTCAGTCAGCTCCGTGCCTGAGGTAGCAGGGCGAGTGGTGTGTGCCCTACACGGCCTGTGTGTGCTTCAGCTGTCCTTCAGTTCCTTGTGCCTGGCATGGCTGCAGCCTGGGGTGCTGCTGTTGGCTTCCTGGGTTGCGTGAACTGTCTCCTTAAGGCTTAGTCACAAATATAATACAAAACTGGAATGTCATAACGTCTGTCTCCTTTCAACCCCTCACGTAAAAGTGCTGCTGGTACTAGGTTCTGAATTACCAATGTAGATCTGCTCTTTATTCAAGAAGTTAAACAAAAAAATGCATAAATACAGTAATGGCTAGATGGGGTGGAATGGGATAAAGTTGCACCAGGGGAGGCTTAGGTTGGATATCAGGAAGAACTTCTTTACCAAAAGGGTTGTGAGGCATTGGAATGGGCTGCCTAGGGAAGTGGTAGAGTCCCCATCCCTGGAGGTCTTTAAAAGATGTTTAGATGAAGAGCGTAGCGATATGGTTTAGTGGAGGGCTGGTCAGAGGTTGGACTTGGTGATCTTGGAGGTCTCATACAACCTAGATAATTCTGTAAAACACTTAAAAGGTTTCAGTGTGGGAAAAAATGGCTATGCTCTTTAACTTGGGTTGTCACAGGTCCAGCTGTCTCCAAGTTAGCCCTTTTTTTTTTTTATAGCCATTTGGCTAAAGGCATCACAGGCTGTTCTGCCCAACACTTGTGCAGGTGGGAAACATTGCTGCTCTTTGATATTACTGCCACTCACCTTTCTGCCAGCAGAATGGTGTTTGTTAGCTGCCTGCTGATGGCAAAAATATCAGTAGGATCAGTGTGAGGAATCGCAGTTTCACATCACCTCATGCAAATCGTGTAGGCCTTAAGTAAAAAGCACTTAAACAATTGTGTTCTCAGGCAGTGACTGTCAGCAGGGAAATGATGGCTGGCCTACTGCAATGATACTGCTGAAAATATTCATATTCTGTAAGTTACTTCTCAATTCTGTATTTAAAAAATAAATTGACAAAGTAAGGTGTTGGTGGACCACATTTCTTCAATCTTTGGATGATTTTTTCCTGTGCCACTTTGAGTTCCTAGGTTTCTTTCTCTCCTTTTCACCCAGTTTGTTGCTGCTACAACTGGGTATAGTAGCCTAGCATCTGTTTAATCAGTAAAAGGTGTGTAAAAGTAAGCAAGAGTTTCTGTGCTTTTGCTTAGCATTGCGCTGGGAAACAACTGACTGTGATGCCTAGAGTTTTTTGTTATTAATTCAGTAACTGCCTTTTAGCGTGTTTTAGTGGTGGTCCTCATTTCTGGACTTGGAGGCCTGCATTTGCTTGTATTAAAGTGAAATTTATGAACAACGGAGAAGTTTTGTCAGTAGTCACTGTGTTTTTGACATGCACACCCACACCCCTACCTGCAGCCTCCATGTTTTGATGATCACGAAGGTAAGTGGACCCCACATGTTTACTGCCCTATCGTTTTCCATAAACTAAGATTTGGAAGCTACATTTGTGGGGCGTCTTCTCACCTGTTTTCCACTAAAAAGTTGTGAAGCTTCATGTTTTAAAAACCTTTTCTTTATATGAATTACTATTGCAGGGATCTTGAACACTTGACTAAATAAAAAATGTTTTCTGAAGCCTGTGTTGCAGATGTTACTAATACTAATTCTGCTAATGTCTTCGATATGCTCAGTAATTTACCTTCTTGCTTACAGAATAGTACTTGAAGCTTAACTCCTTGAGGGAGCCTTGTCAGTGAGAAAATGCTTTCAGGCCATCCTTGTCCTAGTGCAGGGATCCACTTCTGGCTTGGTTTAGAACTGCACAAAAAGAATTGGATAGATCTTATTCTGTATTCGTAGAGCAGATTAAGTTTAAATGAATGCTTAAATTTATTTTTAAACCAGCAGCTAAGCAAAAGGAGGGCAGAGAGTTCATACCAGCTCTGAGTGCAGATCTGAGTTTGCACAACATATGAAGTTTCCCATATTTAGCTTATTGGAAGTGGGGGGGACCAGTTACTCTTGGTGATGAGATGAATTTTTTCATTACTGTAAACCTGTAGGAACTGATTAACTCTAGCCTTGTAGTAGTTTGTTAGCTGGCTTTATGCAAGAGTTTTGATGGTTTTGCATTTTTTGTATCTGGTATTCCACTCTCCTGTATGAGATGTTCTCAAGATCTGTGAATTTTCCAAAGGCTTCTTCAAACTATATAGCTACCTTTTGTGGAAGATACTGTGCAATTTGTTTCACCCAATTTCTATTGCGTTGCAAGGAAATTCGTTCTTAGGTGGAGAATAGTTGTGGCCTGTGTTTTCGCTGACTTTCTGCTCTAGTTGCCTGCTGTGACCATAACAACTGTGTGTGTCTGATCAGACTGATAAGACTTCATTATGAACACACAGTGATAAATAATGGCAACTGAAAATTTGAAAAGATCACCTCTTGCTTTTGCAATGATCTGTTGAACATCTCTTGCTGTTATAGAAATGTACCATATTTTTTACACGTATTTTACCTTGTTTTCACTTTAGAACTTATTCTTGAAGTTGAGAAATAATTGTCAGCTCCAAAAGGTATTTACCAGTTTATTTGGTACAACTGATATTATATTAAATCTTACATGGTATAAAGTTCCCACAGAGCCTAAAAGCTGTGTGACAAATACAGAAGTTCTTGCCTAATGCTTTGTGGAGTGGTGCTATTTCAAAATACGGAACGTGGTCTTTTCTTGTTTATACATCTATATCTGTCTACCTGAATGCTAAAAGGAAAACACCTCCATGTTTTATCAGCAGCAGCTATGTTTTTCGTTAAAAGGTGCCTACAAACACAACATTTTAAAGGAACAGTGAAGATAGGAGGAGGGTTTGTACTTAAAGCTTGTATAATGCACGGTAGCTATAACTGAAGACTTGGATTTAACTTGTATAAAAAGGGAGCGTGTCATATTTCCTACTCCTATGTTTGCGGATGGCAATCACAACAAAGGAAGACAAACACTACAAAGCTTTTTGAAAGAAACACAAACCCACTCAACTTGATGGGTAGTAATACGGAAGGTTCCAAATTCTGTCAGAGAAAGTGGGAAACATGCTTTGTGTGTTCTTGTCGACATAACTTGAAACAGTGGGGATTTCATCTTTCTCTGATTTGTTAGAACTGTCTCCATGCAGGCTGCAGTGTTCAGAGCAATTTGTATTCCATACGTCTACCAGTTGCTCTTGCTGGTTTTCTCTCTCAAGGGTAGTAAGAAAATCTTTTAAAACTTGCTTGAATATGTAGACTATTTCCCAAGGTAAAACATCATTTTCTGCCAAAACTTCACGAAATCTAGAAACAAACAAGAATTGAAATCGAATCATCAGGGCTGACAACTCTTTTTCCTCGCTCATCTTTTGAGGGAAGGTGAAGGAGGAGGAAATGACTGCGCTCTGGTGTCATTTATTCCTTGCTGCCACATTTCCCCACACACCTCCCCCAAAAGATTACAAGAGGAAGAGAGCTCTAACAATGCACTGGAAGCGGTCCAGCTATTATGAGGATTGTTATTCAGTATGCTTTTCCTTTTTTTTTTTTTCCCTCCTCCATCTGGGTAACTTGATTTAAACTGACTTTGCCCTTAGGTGTATTCTGGGCTTTAAAAGGCACATGGGCGGCTTCTATCATTTCTACGTGCCCCTGGAAAATATATTTAAAATACGAGTATAGGACAATTTTACATGGTAATTCCCCCACAACATTTCATATTTAATAGATAGTAACCAACTTACAAGTAAATTGTAATTGGTTACAATTTAATATTGGGGATAATGAACAGGAAGAAATGGAAGTATTGAGAGGTCACATTTTTAAGAATGCAAGACTTCCCTTGTTTAGGATTAAACCAGGAAAATCCCGATATTCAAAAACTTCACCTGTACAACATCATAAAGCACAGGTGTAGTTTCTAAAACATCTATAAAATACACTCAAGCTGATGGTCATAGTTACTCTGGCAGAAAGATCAGAGCCATGCATACGCTTGGAAAAGATAAAGAAAATATAGCTTATTTATGCTCCAGTACTCAAGGCTAGAGGAGTAGGAGTAGTTACCTGCTGAGGACAGTTCCAGTTTGGCAGGGCTGGATTTGAGAACAGAGAACTTCCAGCTGCCGCTGCTCTGTGGCTGGGATTGTTGCTTGAGGATTTTGGTAGTTCTTCAGCCAGTTGTAATCCGTGCCAGGTTTCTGGACTTTCTGTTCATTTTCAATCTCTTGCACTAATCTTTCACGCTCTTTCAGGTGCCATTTCAGTTCCCTCAGCAAGGTTTTGGTAACGAGTTCTGATCCAGGATACCTTGTGGATTTGTAGGAATCATTCTTTGACCATTTCATCCAGCCAAAAAGTGGCATTTTTAAGCTGTGGGGAAAAAATAAAACAGTATTTTGCTAATTTCTGTCAGGCCGGTAGTGTTTATACCTACAGGCTTCCTTTTAAGCTGCTGACTGTTTTAAAGTAAATTTATTCCTGATGGTAACATTTCTTGCACTACAATATAAGAAGCGATAGTAATCGGCAAGCTGTAATTAAATCTGACAGGCCTTACATTTTATAATGTTTTACATCTGTTTTCCAAGTTAACACTTTCAAATGCTGTAAACTTCAGAGTTGTAAGTGCATATTTATCATCTTGAAATTACGTCATGTTGTTTTTCCTGAGAGCATATGAGGTAGTTAAAAAAAAAAAAAAAATTAAAAATTGAAGTAATTCTTGAAAGTTTAAAAAAATAAATTGCTAAAGTTAAGTGCTGCAACTCCGTACAAGTCCAGCTTAAAACTTCTGTATCACTTTGTATTTTTACATAAATTCCTATTGATGTAACCTCTGGAAACTGAAATCTGGTGGAATAGACTTCTAAATTGCAGTTAGTTACAAGCCATGCAGACACAAGCATACGAATCAAAAGGAAATAACATAAATTACCTTAGCAGTTGTCTGACCAGTGTTGTTTCAGGTGAGTTTGCTTGAAGGTCTCTTATTCTAGCATATACTGTTTCCAGGCTGTTAACTACTGGTGGAAGAAAAAAAGCTTTTTTTCTTTATTTACTCAAACTGTGCTTACAAAAATGACTTTCAGTACTGAACATGGCAGTTTAAGTTTTTCTGCTTTTAAGGTTCTTTCTCACCCCCTATACCAGAGAGCAGCAGTAATCCATTTAACCTAATGTGGTCTCTCAGACACTTCCTACAAAGTCCATTAAGGTTTCCTACCTTTGGATTGAGTTCTGATGGCAGCAGTTAAAAAAAAAATAAAAATGTAACAATTTCAAATGCTTGTTGCTAAATCCATCTGAAGGTATTGGTGGCAGTGAGATGAATAATGATTGTCTGGAGCAACTCCAGACGCGCTTCTAGCTGAAGTTAAGGCTGTCGGATGCTGTGATGCTTGGCTGTGCATAGCTGTAGGTCACAGTTTAGAGCTGTATTTTTATGCCTGTGGAGTGCTAAAAATAGCTCTGTTGCTTTTATCATCAACCTAAACTTTCAGGCCAGTGAGATGCTGAAAGACTTTCTCCCCTTAGAGGGGGGAGCAGGCTGTTGTACCGTCACTTCTGAACGGCTAAGAATAGGCTTCCTCCAGCACAGAGCATCTCGAGCCTTTGTTTGCCGAGTGTTGCCAGAACAGAGCTGTTTGACAGTTGCTCAGGATTTTGGTTGCTATATTAAATACTTTTTCCAGATGAATTTCATCATTCTCATGGTACTACGCTTTTTTGTTACCGTGCATAACATAGCTGTTAGCATTTTTAATTAACATTTCAAATGTGTTTAAAGAAGCCAGTCTGTAACACCTACGGTGTGCCATGAACGACGCACTAATCTAATTAAAGGAGTGGAATGAGAAGGAAATGCAAATTGAGGTCAAACTGATGTAAAAAGCCCAGAATGTAAAGTCTTACCATGGACATTGCTTCCTTCTCAACTGGCTGTCAGTTGCCTTTTCCCTCTTCCCTTGACGAGCGTTTTGAGCAGATCCATTTTTTAAGATTAATTTCCAGGGATGGCGTTGCGCGCAATAAAGGTCGCTGAAGCAGCCATTTTCCGTTCCAGTTCTCTGGTCTCTTCCTATTAATCTAAACGATAGGCATGGTATATGAAGTGCCTTCCCTCCTTGTCTTCCTTGTTAGAATGGCTAGCTTTGCTCCTCTAAGTATTTTGCCTTCCTACTTTTTTGCCTCCACTGGTGTGTGGAACTGTTGGAGGAACGAGGCTTCTGTAAATTTGTTCTAGATGTCATACAACATAAAGGATGACGTGTGGGGCTGTTATTAAAGCTGATATTACTTATACATTGGAAAAATCCAGATGTCAGTAGTAATCCTCTTCAAGTGGAAGGTTTTCACATTGCATTGTATGTGGTACTATGAAAAATGAAGGGAGCTAGGTTTATGATGACAGAACTGTCCTGACAGATTTTCAGATGAAATTAAAATGTTCCTTGCCACCTCCTTTACAGCAGTTACCATGTCACCGCTTACTTTCCAATTTGATACAGAGGAGAAAAAAATGGTGTACAGCGTAAAACCACTGTAATGTCTTTGCAAATTAAGGAGATGTGTGCTTGAAGGTGTGCAAATTAATGAAATGAGAAAGCTACAACAGTGGGTTTTGTTGTTCTGCTTTTGTTTTTTCACCTAATCTTTGGTTATACCGTGAAATTTTGTGAGTCTGGATACTGAGAATGATGCTTACCTTTTCATTGGAAGAGGAACACTGACACTGAAAATCGTGTTGCTTCTAGTTCTGTACGTGTTTCAGATCTGCTTTTGGGACGATATGGCTGTTTGTGCGAGTCTGACACTAGGAACTGGAACTTGATTCCATCTAACCTGCAGTGTACCAGAGTTCTGCAGTGCTGTATCGAGATGAAAGTTGCAGCTTGACTTCAGCAGATCATGGGGCTGTTCCCTGACGGCATTAATGAGTGGTCTTACTGGTAGCTACAGCTGTTATATCTTAGCCTGGGGGAAGTCTTTGTTTTGATTCCTCTCATTAATTTTTAGGCGCAATACAAATGGTGTGAAGTCATTATTACTTACCTTCAGTGTTTGTTTTGTAAATACACGTTCTTTGAGTTATTACTGGGGGAAAATGGTTTGGTTACCTTGACAGTCCTGTAGCAATCTTGCACTTGAGTCTGTAAATCCAGGGATGCTGTGCTTTTAGAAGTTATTTAGGTTCTGAGTTTCTTGCCTTTTGTTTTCCTTCTGAATCATCTACTTCTGGTACTAGTGGCTAAAACACATCATAGTACTTGAGAGAAACTGTAACATTAGTTACATAATGACGAGTAATTTTTTGTTAATAAGCCATAACTTACTCTGCCATTGAAGCAGAACAGTTGTTAACTAACTGATACATTTTGGGTAAATTAGCTCTAATGGTCTGTGTGTAAAATATAAAATGACAGTTGAAGATGCTTTAGATCTTGCTTTCCTTCAACCTCCTTATTAGATAATTTTCCTACTTTTCTAGGCAAAGAATGTAATTAATTCCTAAAGCATCCATTTCTGTAGCTTTTTTTTTTTGAATTGCAGTGAACGCTATCTTATGTGCTGGTAAATCAGATTTTTTCATACGTGTATTTCTTAGACTTGTTCTTAAGTTAACCATTTTTCTGTAGTGGGTTTTTAGGCTTGTTTTCTGATGTTCTCAAATTGAACTGAGGGAGCAGCAACAATTGCTGGAGCCAAAGTGCAGGTTTCCTTTCATAAATCATCTCAGACAGCTTTGGTAGCCCTTCCTTGCTTGCTGTGACAGATTCCAGGTTCGTCAGCAAAGAGCCTTGTTCCAAAGGAGTAGCTTTAAAAGAGCACAAGTTAATTGGAAATTAAACAAGCAATTGAGGAAATAAGGGAGGCAGTCAGTGGCTAAAATGGTATCTTTTTCCTAGCAGCCCTGTGTGAGACAAAGGTTATTTCTTTTTCTTTTGAAATGCCTTTCTACAAAACGGACTTTCTTGAAAAGCTTCGTAGCTGCTTATATTTATCCTGTAGACTTCCTGGCACCAAAAAAATTTATTCCAAAACCTTAAGGTGTTCCTCCTCCTGCTATACTCATGGTCTTTAACCAATCTCAAGTAAAGAGGAGCTCCAAATCAAAGTTAGTACTTGTTGAACTGTGAAATCTAGTGTTCTACAAAGATGTTTGCTGCATAAGCAGCTGACTAGGAGTCTGCATAGCTAGTTTGTAGAGATGTTGGGTGAGGCGGAGAGAAGTGGGGCTACTCATTTTTCTTCTTTCTTGAAAGGACAGAATGCTTTTTTCTAGCATTTCCACAAGCAATCACTAAATGATTTTTTTTATTGTGCCGTGCATATGGTTTGTGCACTGTGCAGATTACTCCTGCTGTGCATGCTAAATACTTCCATGCTTTTTGGGAGCCTTTTCCTAAATTCTCTGTAGAAATGGAGGCTTGGGGAAGCTCTGACTGCAGCTAGGTGGCTTGACTTGTGTCTCCTGTGCCATCAGACCATGTGAAGAATAAATGCTTCATCTTGAGGATGGCTGAATAGAGCTAGGCAGTCTAAAACAGATTTCCATGACAGAGCACATATGTAACATATATAAGACCCTTAAGCTTTAGCACCACTAGAGGTGTGAAGACATCTGCATGTGAAATGACAGAACTGCTGAAACCCATCTCTGTGGTAGTGGCTGCTTTGAGGTGGATTTTTATGGGTTATGGTGCATGTGTTTGATTTCTTCATGTCTTCTAGGTGTGTTAGTTTCATGGCATTTGGTTTACAAATACAGGAGAGAGGAGACATTGAGGTAGCTATAGTTACGTTTCCATAGTTACGTGCACAAAATAAGCATAATTTACTTTAACCTATTCTAGAGTAATTTCATGTTGAAACTTTTTTTATTTACTGGCCTCAGTAAACATACGTGCTGCTTGTAATTTAGAAGGGGAAGAAGGGAATGTCAATTTAGTGCAGAATCAGTACAGGTCATCTGGCAAGAATTCCTCTGAAGATAGCACCACATCCATGACCAGGGTTGTGTCCTGGGTATGTTTTGTCCTGATGGCACATGCCCAGCATGTGCTGTGACAAACGTCACCGTTGATAAATGGTTGTTTGTAATGTGTGGCTTGGTGTGAAGGGTGGAAGCGTGGGCCATTGCTCTCATGTTCAACCTGATAATGCCTGGTGCCCAGTGTCTGATCTGGGAGTTCCTCTTTGGTCTCCTCCTGTTAACCTCTCGCAATTGGAGAGGAACCTTGAGTAAGATATTCTGGAATCAAATACCTGGTATGTGACTGCAATTATTTAGCACTTAAGTAGAAGATTTGTTTGCTTTTCAAGTTCTGCAAGGTTAAAATCTTTGAATTTCCTTGTCAGGTCTCTTCCAGCTTATGTTATCAACTAGGAGCCCTTGGCTCCATGTTAAAGGCACAGCACAACAGCAGAACAAGAACAGTTGCATGCACTTGTGATGCAAATGCAACAGAAAACAAGGATTTAAAGAGCTAACACCACGGGTACACAGTGTGTACCCATGTTCTGAGGGCGCTGAATGTGCCTGGAGTTTGACTGTGAGACAGTGGCAAAGCATAACTTGAGAGGAGTACTTGAAGAATAAAGGTGAGGAGCTTGTGTGGATGTTCACAGGACACTTACTCAAGGCTAAGTGATAGCAGGGGAGAAAATAGGGTGGGTTCTTAGAACGCAGTAAGTGAACCGTGGAGTCTGGCATCATGAGTTCCTCACTAACCTAGATACCAGCTACTTCAGAAGATTGAACTGTTCCTGGCAAGGTAGTATTTCTTAGCTAAAACGAGGTGACAGCAGATGTTCATTTTACTCTGATGCTTTCCAAAAGCTTTAGAAAGCTTAATCAAAGAACTAAGTAAACTAATTTCTTTAGCACAATAAACTTGAATATTTGCACTGGTGTGTGGTTAAGTAAGTTTTAAGTTCTGATTATGACCTTTTAGTGTTACTGTAGTAAAGGATTTGTTGTAATCATGTAATGTAGAAAGTGTGTTCTCAAAACATTCTTGCAAAATCTGAAATCCTCAGGAAGAAGGAAAGTTCTCTAGGGAGCAGCTGTTCTTCCAGTGTAGTGTTTTCCTAAGAAAAGTATTGTTCTGTGACCATATTCTGGGAACTAGTGAAACTGTTCTACTTTTGTCTTGGGAGAAAAAGCTGCAAATCCAAGTCAGCTTTCAGTGCAGGAAGGAAGGCTTTAATCTTTCTGTACATCTTAACATCACATACATAAAGGAACTTCCTAAACTGAAAAGCTGGTCCTGTACTGAAATAAAAGCAGTCTACTTAAACCTAGAGTTACTGCTGTGCTGGTCTCTATGAACTACAAATTCAAAACTGGTTTGTGGTGGTTGAGTGTGTTGTAGGCCACGACACAGTATTCTTTGACAGAAAGCCAATTTGAGAAGTAGCTGACCCTGCACACAAGTTAGTTCACCTGACTCCGTGTGCCATGGAGCTGGGCTTTTGAACAGCCTCACTGAAGTGAATTCAGGGGAGAAGGAAACTGTAAAAACGCTTCCATTTAACCAAATACTGCAGTGTGACAAATTGCAAGAACAGGTGGAGGAGAAGGTTCTTATTCTTTACTACAGAAGATTTAGGACATCAGTACCATCTGTGATCTGAGATGCTTCTGACTTGTCGTTGAAAGAGGCAAATGCAGTTCTCGTCATGAATGAGAGAGTTGTAATAACACACCAAGGAATTGTCATCAATAGTCTTGTTTGCCCAAAAGTATTGGCAGCAGGTTGTAACCACTGCTAGCTAGCTAATGTTTTAACAACTTGGTGTAGTGGTGTGTGCTCCATATTTGTTCGTAGGTTATAGTCACACACTCTGGTTTGTCACCTGTCTGATTTTGTGAGGAGTTGGTGCTTCAAGTTATTAGGAAGGTTACCACCAGTACTACCAGTCACCTGAGAAAAGAGATTTCAGCTTTGTAGCTCTCTGTAGCTAGCAGGTAAGATGATGTGCCTCCATTTATAAGCTGTCCCACTCCTTGGATTTAATGATCAACTTCGCAGTGCATTTTTCTTTGATATGGCAGAACAACTCGCTGGAGCTGTTTCAGGCTACAGACAGATGGTGAGTCTACCTCCTCAGATCTTACAGACAGCCTTGGATGGCTTTCACTTGTTAACAACTATGAACAAAACTTGCCACAAGCTGTGACAGCTAACAACAGTAATAATTCCCTCTTAACAGCGCTAGCTGACAGAGTTGTGTTAGCTATCACTGTGCTACCATTCCTGTGGTGAATATAACCAGGGCATGCTTGAAGCTGATGTCTTCCAGTCCCACTTTCTGTAGCATTCACATCTGGTGCTGGTGACACATCACTAATAGGCAGGGGAGTTACAGGCATTAGTTAGAAATCGAGAGGATCCTGCATTTGATACTTTGTATCAAATTTGATACTTTCTAATTTTTAAACTCTTAATTCCATTGTAATTTGGAGCTTTTAGCTGGTTTACACCAAATTGTTCATTTTTATTGTTTTGAGGATTTTTTGGCTATTTGGCCAAGTTCCTT